ACACTTTCTCTAGTCAGTTCCTAAATCTCCAGTGAGAGTGCCTATGCCAGTTTGGATATGCAAATAATATAATTTCCTTGGACAAGCAGAATTTGAATATGCTCAAGTAAACAACAGATTCTATGTATGTAAAAGTCAGCTGATAGTCTAACAACTTACACAAATTAAAATCAAGAATTAAAGCTGGTCTGTGTTATCTATCCCTGTAGACCTCTGTGAAATTCAGACATTTTAAGGCACGAAGAGATAAAGAAATTCAGCTAAGAAGTCCTACTACGTACCACAAGCCATGAAGTTTCATATGCTCTGTTCCAGTAGCTGGAATTACACTTCCATCAATGTCAGAAATGTTTTTTGCTTAAATTTCCCATAGGTTACTGTCACTTTATGAAGTTCTGATCCCTCACAGAGCCTACACTGTCCAGACTTTCCAGAAAACTCATGGAAAACCTCTAATCTCAGTTCTCCAAACATTTCTGTACTATGTTGTAGATTCAGGAATAGATACGTTCTCTCTAACAGACTACCTATCTTTTGTGCACCAACTCTCCCATTACACATCTCTTGGCCATTGCAAACATCTTTAAAAAGTAGAGGTATCTCAATCCTTCCCATCTGCTTAAAATATTCTTCTGAAGGGAAAGGAGAGATGAAGTTTCTAATACTCCGTTTGCAATCCTTGGCATAATACGCTATTTCAGCAGTAAATCACATTTCTCTAGTTCTTCCCAAAGAACTGTGACTATGAATATTAGTAGATAATATAGGTGAGCTGGGTACAGATCTGTAGAAGCTGGCAGTGATGAGGACCTAGAAACCCCTTCACATTTCAAGGTGCCTTCCAGCTTAGCTTCTCCTGAACAGAGCCCAGATGACACACTCTTGAGAGCACCCTGTAAGAAGTATCGAAAATGCAGTAAGTGGAGGCTAATCAGAGATTTGCTCCACAAGTTCATTCCTGACAAATTAAAATGAGAATGTAAATACATGCTGGGTGAGTATTTGAGTGCACCTACTGACACACCTTGAGGAATGATAGACAATTAATCCTCTAATAGCTTAGACTGATGTTCCAAGTATGTTACCCCACAGGCTGCAAGTGACAACAAAACATGGACTGACACATATTTCTGTATGTACCACCTACCCTCACCTGAACACCCCACCAAACTCAGGTCAGAAGGTCTGCGCAAACAGCAAACACAAGAAGAGTAAGAGTGTAAATGTTTTCTGTAGCAAAGAGATACTCTAAGTGGTTGCCTTGAGACTGTAATGAGGAGAGCATATTTTTTTTCTGTTGAGAAATTAGATGAAAAAAGCTACTGATGAAAAATGTTATTGTTCAGCAGAGACAGGGAAAGGTCATGTTAGAAATAGCAATCAGTAGAAGATATCAAGACAAATGTAGGAGGAATCAGAAGCCTGGTAAAAGACAAGTTTTGAAGAACAGAAACTGTTTTAAAAAACATACATAAAGGCAGAACAACACTGTATTAACAATAAAGTATGTTGAAAATTTCTGCTACAAAAGATGCTGTTGAAAAGGAAGAAAAGGAGAGTGAAAATGTGAACAGAAATATTTCTGCATCTAAAGTACAGACAAACTCTGAGAACCCCAGTGTGCTGGCAACTTGCACTTTATAAATCTGCAAGAAGCAACATAAGAATCATTACCCTAATAGCTAAAATATGCAACCGTCTCTCAAATCAGGTATTGTATGAGTAGAATAGGGCTATGAAAAAGACAGGCTGAAAATTTCACCTTTGCCCAGGTGCCCTTTCACAGTGACACACTGGAATGAATATGGTGTATCCCCACTGAGTACCAATGCCACTGAAAAGAAGTGTCAAAGAGAGCCAAGATTTAAAATGCACAGTGCTTGTGGTTGGAAGAATATTGAGAAGAGTGAAGGAGAAAAAGGAGGTATTTGGAGTGGCATGCAGTGCTAAGTGGGTCCTAGATGACAAAATATTTCTCTAAAGATTTGGACTAAATTTCTTCTTAAACCTTAAGGTGTTAAGAGCGACACAGGCAGTTCCAGGATTAATATCCAACCACGGTTATCTGGAAAAATGTATGTGAAAAAGTGAATTTGGGGGATCTGGAGATCAGCTGTGGCTTAAAATACAGTGCATTTTTCTTGGATTTGAGTCATCCTGATCACTTACTGAATTTACAACTCACCGACTTTCTGAAATACTTCATTGGTAAGGATAATAGACCTTGCAGACTAAATAAAGTACATCACATGTTTTACTTGTGTAAATATGCTGAAAGTATGTTTTCAGTAGAGTACCACAGTATTCTGTTGGAAGCACTAACAATTAAATAAAGAACTGGCTTCACAGTGAGAGTGAATTTTTCTGTGAGGTTCTATCAAGCAGAGTTCAGCAGTGATCCTCCTTCCGATTCTATGTCCAGTTGTTCTAATTCACGAGCATTTACTTCCTCTTATGTCTTTGTGCTTATATCTAACACAATCTGAATGCAAGACACAAAGAGAAAAAAGGTCAGTACCGACTTTTGAATCTTCTACTCGATCTGGTTTTTGTTCTGAGAACATTTTGCTCATATATGCTAGGGCTGTTTGCTAGCTGTGTTATATTCACCAAGGAGCTGGAATGGGAGGTGAAATGTGATGGCTACAGCAAAATTCAAGTTACTTATATCATGGGGAAACTGGTCTACTTCATTCAATTTAAAATTTGTTTAGACTTGATAGGAGTTTTACTCAATAAGGGGCTAATTATGATGTGTACACGTCCCTGCAAGGAACCAAATCTGTTTACTCTATCACTAAAAGTGCTGGAAAGAAAGAATTTATTTTGTTTCCTGTCCAAAAAAAAAATAAAAATCTGTTGACAGCAGCAGGAGCATCTGGATCCTAAGCTTCCAGTTTCCCAGCTCACTAAATACACTTAAAACTCTTGAAAGGACAACAACAGTTTGGTAATTATCCTTCTCCCTTAAACTAAGTTTTCATTTGTGCACCTTATCAGTAGACTGATTTTTTCTCTGTCTTCTTCCAAACATTCCCAGAGCAGTAGTGAAAAAACAAAACATTAAAATATTGAAATAATATTCACACTTAGGGTTTTTCCTTTTTTTTCCTTTCTTTTTTCTTCTTTTTTTTTTTTCCTTTTCTCTACCATTACTAATGGTATGGGAGAAACATCCCTGTGGGACTCTAAAGCATGTAACACCAAGGGGTAGCTTCTCCCCGGATAGCTAGCAAATTAAATGAGAGACACAAGGGATGGGTAAAGGTCAACATTATATCCATTTTTAAAGGTAGAAAATTAAATCACAGGGAAATTAAGTGACTGGTCAAAGGTCAAACAGAAAGCAAGTTGCAGAGCACAGAAACTGAGAAACTGCCTGATGGTCAGACTGCCCTTTTTCTAATTTGAAGAGGGAAAAAACCCTCAGTGGTAGAATAGTGTCAAAATCAGTTTCACTGACAACCATCTGAATTTCTTTGTCTCATCCAAAACTTTATATTGTTCTGCCTCATTAAAGCAGAAATGAGATCCATTCCAACAACACTGATGCAGTCAAAACTAAACTGCAACTACTCTTAGTCGTTAAGATTTTTGTACGCCAAGAAATTGGTTTGCAGTTTTGCAGAAACAGTCAAGTCAATTATTAATTTCATTGTAGCTTTGGAGAAATTAACAAGTACGTCACCCTTCCCTTCAGAAAGAATGAAGTTAGGTGCTACATTTGAGACCTATGAGAGCATTCCAAATGCTTCAGTCACTCTTCATGTCTTATTGTGAGTTTCTATGAAAAAGTGTATGCGTGTGCATACACAGACATGTACAAACATAGAAATATATTTACATATCCACATTAACATACATAAATATGTGTGTCTGTGTATAGATATGGACACATATGCATATACACATATATGTATATTTACATAAGCATAAAGAAATTACATGGGATTTAACAAACACAAGGCAGTCCAGTGAAAGAGGCAAACAAGCCATTTTCCTGTTCCTGCTCTTTTGAAGTAAGATAGGCCCAGACATGATGTGACATTACAGCATACACTAACAGAGAGTGATCAGAAGCTCCATTTCTGTCTCAGTGACCAGGAAGCTCTGTATACTCTGCCAGGCTTGAGGGATCAAACTTCAGTTACACCATATGCCTGGGCTTTGCCTGCCCTAAACACCCTCAAGGACAAGGACTGTCCGGAGAGCCCCATCACACTGTAACCCAGTCACCTGGAATCACTCCTGTCACCTCATGGGCAACGTGGGAAAGTTCAGACTGAAAGGCTAAGCCGAGGTGCAATATCTGTGGGTGCCTCATCATCGCAGCAAGGCTCTGCCTTGGCAATCTTCCCTGTACGTGTGGAGGGACAGAGAGCTTGGCTCCTAACCTTGGGCTGGCCCTGGTGGCTTGGGTCACAGGAATGGCATGCTTCAAGGGGAAGGTGGGGGGCGGCGGGGGAAATAGCAGGGGTTTCTTCTGAAAATATTAACCTATCTATTTGGAAAGTGATAGCTGCCTTTGAAATGTCTCCTTATAGATCTATACTTAGCACCGGGGCAGGGAGCATGAGGTTGTGAGGGGTGGGCTGGGGGAGGGCTCCCTGCGCAGCCCCGCGCCTTTGTCCTCCAGCCGTGCCCCCGCGGGCTCGGCAGCGGGGCCGCGCCGGGACGCCGCTCCCGAGTCCCCAGTTCGCGTCCTTTCCCTGCGCCCCGAACCCACGGCATTTAGGGAGCGGGTGGGAAGTTGGGGTGTGGGGTTTGGGGGTTTTTTTTGCTTGTTTTTGCCTTTTTTTTTCCTAAACTTGCCTCCCTCCCCTAGTGTCCCCCCTCCCCCTTCTAAATAGGAGATGTTCTCAGGACAGCGCCCGCAAGACTGGCTGGAATCAGTTTTGGAGGGTGATACACCGCGACAGCTAAAAGCTGGATAGGATTTCAGCAGCTCCTATATAAAGCACAGGGGACTTATGTCATTGCACTAATTAAATTCCATCTGGGTTGTTCCTCGGGGTGTTTTTGAGCCCGCCACCCAACTCAAGCAGGCAGAGAAGCCGGGGGACAGCATGATGGACCTTTTTGAAACTGGCTCCTATTTCTTCTACTTGGACGGGGAGAATGGAGCCCTGCAGCAGCTGGAGATGGCTGAGGGATCCCCGCTGTACCCAGGCAGCGATGGCACCTTGTCCCCATGTCAGGACCAAATGCATCCAGAGGCCGGCAGTGACAGCAGCGGAGAGGAGCATGTGCTGGCACCCCCGGGACTACAACCCCCTCACTTCCCCGGCCAGTGTTTGATCTGGGCTTGTAAAACTTGCAAGAGAAAGTCGGCCCCCACGGACAGACGGAAAGCAGCCACCCTCCGGGAGAGGAGGAGGTTGAAGAAGATCAACGAAGCCTTCGAGGCTCTGAAAAGGAGGACTGTGGCGAACCCCAATCAGAGGCTGCCCAAGGTAGAGATACTGAGGAGCGCCATCAGCTACATCGAGAGGCTGCAGGATCTCTTGCACAGGCTGGATCAGCAGGAGAAAATGCAGGAGATCGCGGGGGACCCCTTCAACTTCAGCCTCAAGGAGGGAAATGTAAGCACTGCCTCTTGGTCCCTCCCTCCTTCTCGGGGAACCTGCGAGTCCTCGGGCCTCCGGAAGTCAGCCGGCCAGGCTCGGCCCGGCCCGGGGAGCCGCGGGTCACCTCACTAACACTCGTCCTCTCCCCCTGTCTCCCCGTTCCCGCCCCCGTCTGTGTGGCGCAGATCGCCAGTTCGGACTTCCTCAGCACCTGCAGCTCCGACTGGCAAACCGTTTCTGACCATTCCCGAGCCCTAGGAATCAGCCCCAAAGAAGGTAACTCGTCCCGGGGCCGGACCCCGCTCCGCCAGCCCTGCTCGCCCGCCGCCCGGGGGCCGAGCGCCCTTCCCTCGCCCCGACGGCTGAGGCCCCGGCGGTCCGTCTCTCACCCTTCCCTCCTTTGCCCGGGCTCTCCGGCATCCTGGAGCCCCCGCGCCGCAGGCCCGGCGAGGAGGAACGGTTTGCTCTTTAATCCCTTTTCTCTCGTTGAGCAGGAGTCTCCGTTGTCGAGTCGTCGGCCTCCAGCAGCCTTCGCTGCCTCTCTTCAATAGTGGACAGTATTTCTTCCGACGAGCCCAAACCGCCCAGTGTGGAGGAAGCGGTGGAGAAATAAATCCGGTTCTGTGGTAGTATGTTTAACGAGATGGAGCCCCTATCCTCTTTCCTCTAAACAAGTAACGAAGCAAATTAACACAGTGGAAAACCCAAGCAGGGGCCTTGTTAAGGTTGATTCAAGGTACACCTACTCCCCAAAAAATGGCTCTCACTGACTCGAGCCAGATAGACTTTCCCTCTTTTCTTTGTGTTCTTCTTTTTTCCCCATGAGTTTTGTTTTCTTTAAATTGTGTTGCATAGACCATCCCTCTTTTTTTCCTTTTTCTTTTTTTTTTCTAATTTAAGATATTTACCTGTGTACCGGTGATCCTCTTTGTCCGAGACTCACCGGGAAGTTCATTCCTGTCTGAGTGAAGCTGTTGGTTGCATTTCGTGTGAGTCATATTTAAAGAGTTCCCGCCTCGTTTCGTTCCTGTAAATAATATCAGTACTGTCTTTTCTTTTGTAAACATAGCATATATATTTAAATGGTGGAATGTGATATTGTATATAAGAACAGATGGATTTCTTGGGTTGTAAAATAAAGCTCTTTGTGTTACAGTGTTTTCCTCCCCTCCTCGTAATTTCATAATAACCCAATACTGGAGTTAAAACCTGCCATCGACTTCAGCGAGATGAAGCCCAGATGAGTCAGACTCGTGTAGCCGAAGCACGACCCGTGTGACTGGAAGCAGGACTCGGCATAGATTTTTCCTTCGTTTACTGCTCTAAGGACCGTCTCTCCTTATTTAGGGCCGCTCCCGCGATGTGAATTACCCGCCTAACCCTCCCCGTGGGCTCCCAGGGAAGCACGGGCAGGGCCCGCCGCCTCTCCGGCTCCCGCAGCGCTCCGCGGCCCGATTCCTTGCCGTGCTTGCGCAACGCACGTCCCCCTGGAAAGCGATACTGCTCCCCTAAAATGTCCAACAGGGCCGCTCGAGTACCTTGCCAGGCAGGGACACTTCTTCGGCCTTGCTCTGCACGTGGAGGGTGAGCTTAGAAACGGGACGCGCGAAAAGACACCCCCACCCCTCCACCTCCCGCCCTGGTCCTTGAGCTGGGAGAGGCTCAGCGCGTCCCACCTCTTCCTTTCGGCACCGAGGACTTGAACGCAGGCCTTGTCTGCGGCAAAAATGATGGTCCTGCTGCCCTAACGGGGCAGCGATAAGGCTGTGACAGGAGTTCGCTCTCTTGGGGTCTGGGGATAGCTGTGGTTTCTTCCCAGAAAAAGTAACTCCCCTTGACTTCCTTGTGCCTGAGGGAGAAGGGAATGGGGTCCCCCGGCAAGGAAAGAGTTAAGGGGCCGAAAAGGTTTGGAGATGGGAGGGTAACAACATATGAAGCCTTTCAGTCAGTGATGTGAAAAAACACAGCCTGAGGATGGTGGAGCGGAGCTGCTCACAGTCAGAGCGTTACGGTTTGTAATAGATTATACCCCCGGGAAGAGGTGGCCACCAGGGAACAGCACATTCTGCCCTAAGCACACAGACACAGGGCTCGCCGGAGAGCCTGGGCAAGCAAAGGGACGACAGACACTTCAACTTCACCCACCGGCGCTCTCCTCGTCAACTTTAGCCACTGATTTATTTTTTGTTCTTGTTTTTTGAAAGGTGACAGTAGCTTTTCGGGAAAGTCTCCCCCTTCCCGGCCGGCTCGGGCACGGGTACACCCGTCTGAAGTGGAAGCTCTGGGCAGAGCCTTCCCTGAGAGCCGGCTCTCCCATCACCATGCCTTCCTACCGCCTTTTCTGTGCCGCCGTGGCTAGTCTGATTTTTAAACCAGTCAAGAGCTAGCTCTTAATTGCTCTATAATAAGATACTCCGTTCTAAAGAATAATTGTGGCGGGGCAGTGTGGTGGGCACAGTGATGCGACGGTTTCACCCTTTTTCTCCTTTCAAATTAAACCCCTTTGACGCGGGGAACTCTAGAACTCTTCAGAAAGCGGCGCGTCGGGGAGCGCAGCCCCCTGCGTGCCGTCTCTGCGACCTGGCGAGAGAGCGGAGGCGATTCATCTCGCTTCTGTAGCGAAGGCACTTGACCAGCCACAGAGTATTTCAGATCGGGCTAGCAGCTCGCCGCCGTCCTTCCTAATTTGTTTCGATCCCTGCCAGGTGCGCGGGAAGAGCTGCACACAGTTCACACGCTGATCCGAGACCCGCGGGACCTGCTGCCCGCAGCAGGGTAGGAGCGGTGCTGAGCCACTCCCCAAAGCCAGAGTGTCGCGCCGACATCTGGGCAGCCGAATGTCAGATTAACCCTCAGCTCAGCATTGACTTCTACGAACAACCAGTTCTGCCCGGTAGGACCCCCACTACAGCATCTTCTCCAGCAGCATGGTAACTTGAGCGATTGTTTGGACTAAGTTTGCCTAAAGAAGAGTCTTTTTCATTAAATAAAGAAAATATCTCCCAGAGAGACTCTCCATGACCTCCACGGCTGCGGCTGACATGCCGGGCTTCCCAGTGAAGGTCGTCAGTGTGTTTGCAATTAAGATGTTTGTGTTAGATATTAATAACGATAATCTTTACTCAAGTCCCCAGCCAAAACAAATAGGGCGCTGGAATCACAAAATCAAAGGGTAATAACTGGGTAAAGACAAGAGATTTGTGATTTAATCAAGTCTTTTTCCGGAGCGGCCACGGACAAAGTCACCGAAGTTTTTAAGGGAATGCAAGTGGCCCTGTCCCTGCGTCCTCCCCGATACAGTTCGTTTAACGCGCGCTCGAAAGCCCATACTCAACACAGGCCTCTTCGCCTCTACCTGCTCCGCTCCCCCGGGAACCACCTACTCGCTCCCTCAGGACAGGAGGGGTGCCTGGCTCGGCGTGGCAACGCTCCGCCGCCCGCTCGCGATGCCTGCGGGGCCGGGAAGCGATGGGGGGGAAGGCGAGGGGGAGAAGATGGGGTGTTTGTCTGCAGTGCCGCCGCGTTGTCACTGCTTTCCTCTGAAGTGACGCGACCGAGTGTTTAAAGCCCTTCTTTTCTTTTTTTTTTTTTTTAATCTTTATTTTCCTTGATAAAATAGCCTACAATTCAGGGAGGGAGACGGACAGCCAGTACCGTGGTCAGCTTATTCTCTGAGTTCGAAGTTAAGGGAGGCAGGCGGCGACACAGCAGCTATTTCCTGGGGAGAAATTCCTGCGTGGATCGCTGCTGTTTTGAGCTGGGAATGGGTGTGGGGGGCAGGGGAGGGAATAGGTTGAATAATGGAACCATGTGCTCGCTGGGACGTCCGTCCTATAGCAGGAACTAGCAACTTTTCCCAGTCTCAAGGCTGCTAAAATATCCCTCGTGTCCCTTTGATCTCTCCTGGGAGTCCCAGGGAGCCAACAGAGGCCAATGCCTTCTTCAGCTGTCCTCTATACAAATCCCTCTGGCAGGTACTAATGTGTTTACTTAGGTGCGCACGGTTCTCAGCGCTGGGGGGAACCAAACGTTTCTCACACGGCTAGAAGCGCCCGGCCTCACCAGCCCGACTGGGAAACAGTTTTGCTGCCGGGGCAGCGCGGGGTAGCCCTCACCGTCGCTACCGGCAACCACCGACAGCGGGAGTGGAGCGGCTTGGCAGCATTAAGTTTCATCCCTGAGTGACGCTCTCGTCGCGCTGCACCGGGGCCTGGCTGTGCTCTCCGTCGAGGCCGGAGGCCGGCGGGGCAGCGCGCAAGGCGCTCCGAAGGGCCGGGGTTGGGGGCGCGCTCGAGTGGACCCCAAACACCTCTCACCCCCCCAGCCCGGTGATTTCTGGTTTCGGTGGCATTTTCTTTTCTTAAATAGAAAGGCGTGGGGCTTGGAAAAACATGGCACGGTCTGCAAACGGTGCCCACATGGGATGGAATCCCTCCAGAAATAGGTGCGACACGGCGATTGCTGCTGAGCGGGGAGGGCTGGGGTGAGGAGCATCATTTAAAGAAAGCCTGACACATTCACCGTTTTCTCTCTACCCGTCCGCAGGAGCAGACAGTGTCTGATTCTCAGGCTGCTTCCCGCTTTCCGGACTTGAGCCTCCTGAAATGCAGCAGTATCCTCCCCCACCCCCTCACCTCGCCTTTCCCCAGAAACCTCATTAGCCAGCCTTGTAGTTCGTGTTTTCTCTCCCCTTGCTCTAGTTCCACTCGCCTACTGCATTTTTGCAAGTTTGTTTCGAGATCTCTTTACCAGAGGAGCCGGGGACTCCTTAAAGAATACTATTTACAGACTTTTTTTTCTTCCTGAATGACAGACTCTTCCATGCTTTCTTCCCTTTCCCCAAAAAATATTCAAGGAAAAAGGAAAGAAATTCTTCTAGCTCCTCAAAGACTTTTTGGGAAAGGCACGGTTTTTAACAGCCCCCGCTGAGCTAAGAGTCAGAGCTGCGAGCTAAAGCTCTGCATGTCAGGAGAGCGGGGCTGAGGGGGTTGGCGTTGGGCACCGTGAGATCCACAATGCATGCTTGGAGAGAAACCAAGCATGCACCAGCCAAGAAAGGTGATCGTAACTGCAATCGGCACTTTAAAGATCAAGGTTTTTTGTGCATGAAACATGAATATGTAAACAGGTCTATTTTACCCGGTGCAAACGTGGTAAATCAAATTGCATATATGTGTCTATCTGTATCTCTGTGTGTGCACGCCACATCCCAGTGAAGAGTTCAAGTTACTGCCAAGCAGAACCCCTTCTGAAGGACACTGTCTTAGCAAAACAGTAGAGAACTGCCCTATTTCAGATGCGGCCCAACAAAACAGCAACCCACATCTCAGAGCGACAGAAGCCTGAAATTCTGAGCTTTCCCCTTTCTGTAACTTTACTCCTTTATCAACTCCCTGCTTTTCCTACAGTATTCATTTCAAAGGGGGCTCCCCCTGTTTATGGCCCCAAATAAACCAAAGTAGTGCAGATGTAGCCTTCCCCAGACTTTAGATAATCATGCGTCTGCTCGAAGGAAGAAGGGTGTGTGCATGGATGTTTTTTAGGAAAAGTTTTAGCCTTAGAGTGGAAATCCGCCTTTGGGGATTCGGGGGTGGTGGTGGAGGGGAAAAAAGGAGCAGATGGGGTCCCTCCAGCCTCAACCCCGGCCGAGCTGCTGGCTGCTCTCCGCCTCTCCCGTGAGGATCGCTTTCCAGCGATGTGCGCTGCTACAGGGCGCTTCTCTCAGTAGATACTCCCTACCTGCCTTGCTCACTTGATCAGCGGCTCCTTGAGACAACCGGCTCGCCATGCCACCGCATTACCTCTTCCTGAAGGGTGGCTAAGTGAAGACACCTTTTTCCTGGGCACACGGACAGACTCCGTAGTGTTTGAACCGCTGCTGGGTCACTTGCTCTCCGTTTGAGTTAACCTAGGTCATATAATTTTATTCCCAGGTAGGGAAGGTTTCCTTTGCCTTCTCGTAATATTTTCCTCAGCTACAAAAGCCACCTGGATGAAACCAAAGGATTCCTGCGCGTTAGCAAATGCCTGTTAAATGGCTTCATTACCACTCTAATGACCCTTGCACAGCTCTGCTCGGCTACTGCTGCGGCTGGGGCTCTGCAAGGCTTTTGTCCCCGGCTTGTGTAAAGTTACTTAGGGATTGTGGGGTTAGAAATTTTACACTTCCAGGAGGGGTTTGTTGCACTGGCAGCTGGGACGCATCTGTAACGGTACAATTTTGCCTGAAAGCAGAAAATTAGCAAGCCCAAGGCACTGCTTGACTGTCGTGTCTCTAGCAGCACCAGGTCACACGAGTAGGAGAAAGAATGGGAAGAGGATTTGTTTCGTAGCAAACACATACACTTTTCTTTTGTGAATACCTTTCCCCGTGGCCCGATCCGACAGCACTAAAATCTGGGTTTCCCCCCTCCTCGTCACTCCTGGCCACAAGTAGCTGTGCCTTTTTGTCCCTCAATTTGTAAATTTAATCAGTTGGTGACACAACTTTAACGACAGGACAACGCTGTCCTCGATATAAATGAACACAGCTTAGGTCTAAAAAGAAGGGTAGATTGTTTCAGGCTAGACCTGGATCACGGGCTGTGGGAAATAAAGATATGCAAGTAGACACTGTAGATGCTATGGGGATGCTCAGCGTTAATTCCCCCGAGGCAGCGTGTGATGGGAGATGGGAACATCGGGACGAGGAAGGACTTTGTTGGAAATGTCGGTGGTTTGTGCGCGTCCACTGCCCCCCTCTCTCTTTCCATACCAAAACTGAAAATTCCCAGAATTGGTTGAAACTTCGGAGATGTCGCAACCAGTTCTGGGGAGGTCGTTCATTAGAAAAATGCCCAGCTCTCGGCTCTCCGAAGGAACGGTGCGGAGCAAATTGTCTCCTGGGCACTGGAGGGGGCTTGTCCAGACAGTCACAGGCAGAGGCTGTGGTGGGATATGCTAATAAAGACTGGCCGCTGCAGACCAGCCTCCTTTTCCATGTATATATAAGGGCCCCCTGCATCACCCGAAAGACACTTGGTCTTGGGTCGCTAATTACGGAGGAAATTGCCCCACCGCGCTGCGGAGCGCCTCGCCGAGAGCCAGTGGCTGCCGTCCCGCACTGACGCCTTCGCAGCAGGGATGGAGGTGATGGACAGCTGCAAGTTCTCCCCGTCCGAGCTCTTCTACGACAGCTCCTGCCTCTCCTCCCCGGAGGTCGAGTTCCCCGAGGATTTTGAGCCCAGGGACCTGCCCCCCTTCGGCGCCCACGAACGCCCCGAGCCCGCCTGCTCCGAGGAAGAGGAGCATGTCCGAGCTCCCACTGGCCACCACCAGGCCGGTCACTGCCTCATGTGGGCTTGCAAAGCCTGCAAAAGAAAATCCACCACGATGGACCGGCGGAAGGCGGCCACCATGAGGGAGAGGAGGAGGCTGAAGAAAGTGAACCAGGCTTTTGAGACCCTGAAGAGATGCACCACTGCCAACCCCAACCAGAGACTCCCCAAAGTAGAGATCCTGAGAAACGCCATCAGATACATCGAGAGCCTCCAGGAGCTCTTGAGGGAACAGGTAGAAAACTACTATCACCTGCCGGGACAGAGCTGCTCCGAACCGACCAGCCCCACTTCCAGCTGCTCCGATGGGATGGTAAGAGGGAGGCAGGAGAGATCGGGCTGTGGGGACCCCAGGAAGGCCCGTGGACAGGTCCCCCTCGGCCTAGCGTCGTGGGACCAGTCCCATGGGTGTGGGACGGGTCGAATGCATCCGGACATCAGGAAAAGGCGGGTGGTTTTCCTTATAACAGGCCCCTTCCCAGATTTACCGTTGAGCACGCACGTGGGCTGTCCGGGGATGCTTGGGGGGGGGCGGTAGCGCTACCCGAGGACACCCTTCAGGCGCCCCAGCCCCGGTGTCCAGGCATCTCCTCTCCTCCTCTCTTAGCGCGGTGCCGCAGAGGGGTTCGGTGTGGGGCGGGGGGAGGCGGGGAAGACTTTGCCCAGCGGCAGCAGCGTGGCCGGGGGGCTGCTGCCTCGCTGCCCGCGGGCGCCGGGGCTCCCCCCCCGCCGGTCTTCAAGGCGCTTTCCCTTCACGGGGAGCGTCCCGCTGGCCCCTGGGCGGGGGCGGCTGGGCCGGCACTCGCCCCTTGCTGTCTTGCAGGCCGACTGCGGCAGTCCCATCTGGTCGGCGAGAGGCAGCAGCTTCGACGCGGTCTACTGCTCCGAGATGGCCCACGGTAAGCTGGACTCGACCTGAGCCGAGCCGCGGGCCCCGCACTCCCGTGGCATTTTGGGGAAGGCAGCGCGGGGCCCTGCGGTAACGTGCTGCCGTGCCCCCGTCCCCCCTCCCCCCCCCCCCCCCCCCTCGGTGCAGCGTACGCCGCCGATCAGAGCAGCTCCCTGTCCAGCCTGGACTGCCTCTCCAGCATCGTGGACCGTCTCTCCCCGGGGGAGGAACCAGGGCTGCCCCTCCGCGACGCCGACTCTCTCTCGCCCAGCGCCAGCATCGACTCGGGGCCGGGGACGCCCGGGACGCCGCCGCCCCGACGGACCTACCAGGCGCTATGAGGAGCCAGAAGGGCCGGCACCCCGCGCCTGCTGCCGCAGCCGGGGCTACTGCCCGCCCGCCGGAGCCGCCCCCGCGCCCAGCCGCCTCCTGCAAATGCTTCTCGGGCGAGAGGGGCAGCCCCGGTGCCCCTTGGGCCGCCGCCTCCCTCTGAGGGCTGAAGGCAAAGCGTCCTGCCGGGCCCCGGCCCGGGATATCCCCGAGGCAGGCAGACCCCGGGGCTCGGGACACACGCACTACCCTGGAAACCCCGCTGCAAATAAAACGTGCTGTGAGAGAGCTGTCTGACCGACTGGTTCTTTAACTGCATTCCCTCGTATGGGGGAGGGCAGCGAGACCCGGTTGCGGGGCTCCCGCCTGCACTCCTGTTCAGCCGTCACCCAGCCTAGGTTGACCCCGCCTCATCACGGCGGTCCCGAGCCGGGAGATGGAGCGTCTTGCCGGGCTGGGGCCTAGGAACTTGTTTCTCACTTCACCAGTGCATATCGTTCTGAGACTGCTCATGGAGAAACAAAAATGTGGAGGGTTAAATTCTCCCATTAGGGGTCCTGTTATGGGCACAGTTTCCTTTATTTTCTATAAAAGTGATATTTCATAGTCATATTTATTTTCAGTAAAAGTGATATTTTATAGTCCTATTTTTCTATCCTTCCCTCCCCTTCTTCCTTTCCCCGCACCAGGAAAGCTCTTGTTTCTTTGACTAGGTATGAAGACTGACTGTGTATTCCAGGATTTGTCCCTAAAATTGCATGGTGACTCTCCTCTCAAAACAACTGTATGATATAGCTCTGATCCTCTGATGGGGAGTTTTACTCAGTCCTCTGGCAGAGACAAATTTAGTAAAACTAGTAAGAACAAACCACATGTATCTCTTTCACAAGCCATGAGGTGTATTTCACAATATTTGGAAAGCAATACGCATTTATTTGCTCCTAATGACTTTGGTCTTACCAGTCAGGATAAAAATTCATTACACTACATTGGGTCTAGAAAGAACCAGGCTAAATTTTCATCTGTTTCAGACTTAACAAGTATCTCCTTCCAGGCACTCAATCTAAGTCTTTCTACCATAAAAAATTTCCAGCTCTTTGCACTCCTTTAGTTGTAATTCAACTTGTCTAGCTGCCTCTCCCACAAAAAAAAAAAAAAAGGTAAAAAGACAGAGATGAGATGAAGAGTCGGGCTCCTTCAGTGCATCTAGAAATGTCTCATATGATTAATACTCTGAGTGGGAAGGGATATGCGCCTTACTAGAGTGGCATAAGAATGTATTTGCCGGTTGTGTTTATTTTGCTAGCAGTCAGTGGCCAAGGGGCCTGGAAGTGGTATTTCATCTCTGATAAATCTTTCACTTGAACCCAGCCCAGCTTAGTCATGTCACCAAAAGGTACCACCTGACTGCTTTTTGGCAGCGTCTCTGAACTGAGGATGAAAGAAGCCTAACTGAGGAATGGCTCCATCCCCACAGCACATTGAGGGACCGTGTCCCCCACAAAGGGCCACAGAGAAAGTGAAGTGGCACCTACCTACCTGTCTGAGCCTGCAGCTGGGTGGTAGCAGGTGTGCACCTGACACAGGGCAAGGCCAGCCTACCCCTTGTGCACAGCTTCCCTCAAAATCACTCTCTGCCCTTGCCATGTGACCTTGAGGTAAATGTTTTTTTTTCAGCAGAGTATTTCAGGAGGAGCCTTTACAGAATGGGCTTTCTGTGTGTATAGGTATGTCCCAGGTAATCACAGAGTAGAAAAAGTGGTTTGAAAACCCTGAGTTGAGGTTGTGCAGAGGTACAAAAAAGGTATTCACACACTCTTGTCATCACAGATGCTTCAGGAGTATGCACGTGCCTTAACACAAACAGAGTCTTTCTTGGTTACGAGGGATCACTTCATAGGAATCTGTTCATAGGAATCTTTATGCAAAATTGTGAACATCACTAGTTTTATTTGATGATTTCTCACACATTGCTGCAGTGTTCACTCCTCCTAACCAAAATACCATCCCAAGGATACAGATTATTCCCAAAGATCTAATACAGTGCAGATGATTTTAAATGGTATTTTAAAGTAAGCTAAGCTGGAGAACTTTCAACATTTCAATCTGCACTGTGCTGACCTTGGCAAGTGATCTTGGGTGAAGTATGCAGAGTAACACTAGCAAATCACATGTTGGTAATGTACACCTCTCTTTGGCTGGCAGACATTTTAAGAGTTGCAAAAAGGTCAATACTTCTGAGAAGCAGTTTTTCAGAGTGTGAGGAGAAGTATTCCGTCTGTGGGATGTTTGTCCATAGCTTCCTAAATCCTACTAGGCTAGTTTACAATCTGTGGATTTTGTTATACACACCTAGGAAACAAAATCTTAATTATAGGACATCTATGAAAAAAGCTCCCATGACCCAAAATGTGCTGTAATCCTCATAAGGAATGGAAGTGAGCACCATGAAACTGCCTTTAGTCTGTGGATTGGGAAGAACAAGATATAAAAGGCTGTGGTCTTGGAAGATACACTGTTGTGGTCAGATTTTGCATATTTAATAATAATAACAGGATGTGGAACGGAAAAAAAAGATTTATATTCCATATGAAACATGTTCATTTAAGGAAGGCGGTGCCCAGAAATACATAAGAAGATGATGGTCTAGAAAATCTGAGCTCCACCTATCCTAACTCTTACTACGTGGCTGAGTGCCTCAGGCTCTGAGATAGCGTGCATTGGCCTCACAGGCCAGGCAGACAAGGATGCCTCATGAGTGTCAGAATAATGAATATAACACAGGACCTGCAAGTTTGCTGTCTATCAGTCACTGCAAGGAAGGGCACAATTCTGTACAATTTAAAAACCGCTGTAATTAATGTTGTATTTTAATTTTACTTCTGAAAATCATACTTTTTTTGGTTCATGACTGAGGGAGGCAGCTGAGCTTCTTTTTTTTGTGTGTGTGTGTGTAGTTTTTAATGTCTTTTATCTTTCATTAAGAAACCTTTAAAAAAGCAGAGACCTTTAGAGAAATACATGTTTTAAATTCAGATCAAAAGGCCCACTGTACCTTGCAAAACTAACATAGAAACCTGGAAAAGACCCTTTAATACATCATCAAGATAACGGTCCTGCTTGCTTTATGTTCAAATTTCTTGAGTTGCTTGTAGGGAAAAACACTCATTTTGCCTGTAGGAAAAGATCAACCTCTTTTTTTCTCCTGTGGTAAGGCTTAAAATGACAAACTTTTAGTAATTAGTTTTTGGAAGATGAAGGGGTCTTAAGTCATACTGACTGTCTGAATATGCCCAGGAACACTTCAAATTCATAGCTACATTTCAGTGGAAATTCAGCATCTTCATCTTCGCATCTCAGCCCGCTTGTCAGGAGCAGTTAGACTTAACCACAGCAGGCACCTCCTCCTCCCTTCCTCCCTCACTCTCTCCTTCTTTCTCCTTCTCCTTCTTCTTTCTCCTTCTCCTTTCTCCTTCTCCTTTCTCTTCCTCTGCAGAGCCCTTGACTCACTCATCACTTCTCCTTACTCCTCTCAGCTGGACCTTGGAGTCCCTGGAGGACCCGCAGCTGGCCAGCTGATTGCTGCTGACCTTTGGCAGGCTCTGCACTGGGTATCAGCCTTACAGCTGGTCACAACTGCCTTCCTGGCAACTAAAGATCTAATGAGCTTGGCCAGCTCCAGACTGGGCTGAGATCCTGCTGGCTGATTTGACCCTGTGTGAGGGATGGAGAAGTTCACCCCCAAATGTGGAGGGAGCGAGCCATGCATCTGTCCATGTGCTGCTGCTCCTGGGCATCAGGGCCAGGCTTCTCCTAGAGCCAACTGGATTAGTGAAATGACTAAAAAAGAGACAGAAGAGCTGTTTTTTCTCATGATTTCTTTTGAGTTTTCTGTGGAGTATTAGATTAGGCTTCACTAGTGGCCTTTACCCTCGCTATATCTTACACTGTTCATTCCATCCAGTCCAACAGATACACCCATCCACCAGAATAGCGATGGACTGAAAGAGTTACTACCCTTCCCAGACATGGTGTGATATATTTTACCTTCATCCAGCAGGTGCCCCACCTTCCTATCTCCAGGAGGTTATGCATCTTGGACACTCATGGACCTCATGCCAAAACCACTGCAGAGTCCAGCTACTTTCTCAAAGGTCTGCTGTTTTCCACTCCCCAGACCAGCTGATAGGCATTATTCATTCCTAGAGTCCATTTTCTTTTTGAGCATTAGTAACATTTATGAACAGCCTGGCAATCGGCTGAAATGTGTTGGTGGCAATGATGCCGAAGGTGTTGCTCATCTCTTCTTGAAAAAGGTGACATCATGTATATGAGGGTCAGCAAGGCCAGAGAGAGATCAGTGTATGCATTAAATCAGGTGCATTTGAATCTGACACCCTCTGAGAGGCCTTCAGACCTGGAGTAAAAGCAGAGGAATAAAGGTATGTTTTTTCTCTTTTTTTCTCTGAATCTTCTATGAATCTGTGCTTTGAACTGACGTTTCTGTTTTAAAAATCCATATAACACGTATGCTAAGCAAAAATCAAATCCTACAAAGAAGCTCTAAAAGCTTTAGGTCCTATTTTTATTTTTTTTTCAAGTGCCAAATCCTCCCACTTGCAGTGGGACTCAGCTACCTAGCAGGGACACAGCAAAGGTCTGGCTGTAGTATAAAACTCAAGCTCGTGTGCTTATAATGCATTATAGTGAGCCAAACTATGGATTTAATCAACCTCTAATGGTTTGATTCCACAGAATTTAGAAAATTAATAAACTAATAACACCTTAATTAGCAGTGAGAAAACTGACTGTAACTTGTTACACCTGTGTATAGCTCAGTGCAAAGACCTCACTAGCAAATACACCACAGCTCCAGGAAAGGGGTTTGTTTTTTTTTTAAATGGATGTGTTTGAATTTGCTGAAAACTCATTCTGTTGCTCTCATTTCCATGTTTTAAGTAGTGATGTATGCAAGATGTTGTGTGTTGGTTTTGGGGTTTTTTTACTAATCTGAAAAAATACTAGATTTGTTTGTGTTCCTGTCCCTTTCATGATACTTTGAAGAA